ATGATTGTCGATGAAATAATTGTCGATGAAGTGATTGTCGACGAAATGATTGTCGACGAAATGATTGTCGACGAAATAATTTTCGGCGAAATGAGCTTTTCGACGAAATGAACTTTCGACGAAACAAACTTTCGACGAAATGATTGTCGATGAAATGATTGTCGACGAAATGAATCAGACCCAACATAGAAATCCTAACCTCTCCAGTCACTAATATGGCTCTTATCTCGCTTACATTCTGTTTTTACTTCAATACAATCCTTGATTTTTATTGTGAACATCACTGGCATTATTTGCGATGGAAATCTTTTATTAATAAACAGAAGGCCTTTGATATTCTGTGCGAAAAAATAACAAATGGTATGGTGACAATACAGTTGTTGCATTTGGCAATGGTAAACTCTCATCAACATCATATGTACATGCTCCAGGTCCTGTAAAATAATTTTGCTAAGAGCTTTCTAGCACTGCAAGGTGGTGAATGTTGATGAGTTTAAATCCGATCATTGGCTATTATTGTATCACAAAAATCAAGTGAAATTAACAACATTTCAATTTTTTATAATTTGTTTATTTCTATTACAGTCAAAGCTCCCTATAACGAACCTCCAAGAAGCAAACTGCTCTCTATAACGAATTAAGATTTTGGTCCCGATTTTTTATTAATGAAATTTGCTTTATATAACGAATTTTATAGTTAAATTCTCTATTCTGTATAACGAACTGTCTTTGGGGAACCAAATATAATAATAAATAACAATAATATTAATGCTTCTCTATAACGAACCTGTGTAACATAAACTTATTTATCATTGAAAAAAAAATTTATTACTCTTCTTTTTACTATTATTATTTGTTATTGTTGTTATTATTGACAGGGACAAGACTGGCCGACAAATTATATGTTAAATATAATTGTTTTTTAATTGATTATTTACACATACACATCACTTTTGTCAAATAAAATGAATTGTTTCAACATTGTTTCCTAATAATAATAGTGATAATAATGATAATAATATGCCTGAAATAATTCTTTCTTCTTTACCTGTATTACATAACAACGCTTTGTTGTCAATATTGTCAATAGAAAAAATCAAAATTATACTTTGAACAACAAACAGACAAGTCACAATTAACTGATAATGAATTGAGATTAATAAAAGAAAAGTCAAAAATATATTTAATTCAAAAGAACAATTAAAAATTGATAATTATATGAATAAAACTTAATTTTTCTATTTTATTTTCAAAAAGGATCGTTTTTATTTTATGAATGAATGCGAAACTTAATGACTCGTAGCCAATAAATTATTCATAATATGCTCACGTGACCATAATGAGATGATCGACAATTCTTTGTGAACGCTCTCTATAACGAAGAGCTTTGACTGTACTTGTCTAAATTTCTTCTAAAAATTTTCTTTCTTTCATCAGGACTGATTAGATCGATTTCACAGCTGACCTTCACCAAAATCTAATTATATTTATACTGATATACTTAACAATCATATAATACAAAGTTTATAATATATATCTTGATTACCACATACTATACAAGGACCAACCTTTTTTCGGCTTACACCTCTATTCATTTTATTAATAATTAATGATAGTTAAAAATGTTATTTATTTAATATTGCTCGAATTATATATTAGTTTTATTTTTTATGTTACGCGTTAAGTTAAAATGTAGATCATCACAAATTTGGATGTTATGACAAATTTAGAACATTTTTGCAAATTTTGAGGTGGTATATATATATATATATATTATATAGTCTGTGCAACGCCACTTTTCTAAGTGGTATATACTTTTTCGATTTTACAATACTCTTCACATATAAATTGCTTGATATTTTTTTGAAATGTCTATTACAGTAATAAAATACTTAAATTAAACGTTAATTATGCAGGTTAGGGGATGCCCGACTCCTCGGCATGAAGCCTTTACTATGGTTAACCTTAACATTACTATAGTAACACTAATTTTATAGACATGTAGATCATAAAATACTTGACCAATCAAAACAAATGCTCACAAACAGGGCGTAAAATTGTTTTGAAAAATGACCAAACTTAATTAAGTGTTAACTTGCAGACTTTTTATGAGTAGCAAAAATTATTTCAAAAATACTATTTATATACTAATACTAACAAATCATTGAATCTATCTATGTTTAAATATTAATTTGATAAACAAGTTGATAATTTAGTTTAATAAGCGATGACAGTGTATAAAATTAAAAATTCAGTCATGCGTGCTAACCAAAATTTTCTGAATCTGTCGAATTCGGTTAGCACAGCACATTTCGCACACTGAATACACTGGTGATTGATTGGCAAAATGGATCTTTCGGATTAATAACTCTCCTCAGAATGCAACAGTTAATAGGTTAATAACTTGGAGTTATTAAGTGTAGCGGGTTTTATATGCGCATGAAAAACTACTTTACCGTGAAAGATAGCACCCCCTTTTTACAATATAAGATTAACCAAAAAAGGTAACGAGTTTATTACTTAAAATATATATTAATATTAATGTTGTTATAAAAAAATAACGAATGGAAAAATTTTATTAGCCTCATTTCTTCCATGAACTTAATTACTGTCTTTTTTTGAAAATATTGTATATGTGATTTAGTATATAATTTTCTGTAGGAATTTTTTTTTGTTTATCCTGTGAAACACATCCTTATTGCCTTTTTACTATTTCAGTTTCTATTTTTAGAAGGTGCTATCTTTCGGAGCCTAACAAGTATTGTACAACAAGGAACAGGCACTTGCTGATCAATTTTCTATCACCTCAAATAGTTAGTAGTGATTATCGGAGACAATTGATTTGACAAAGCACATGCAAGATAAAACAAAATATTATGTAATTGTGTGTGGTGTGCATTTTATGGTTCACAAAATATTTCTTTTAAGACGTACTAATGAAAAAAGATTCCTTTTAAGAAAATATGGAAGGCAATAAATTCAAAATTGTGAGAATTCTGTTATCTATCCATCTTACTTCGTTTAAAAAAAGTTTGTGAAACACTGATGTATTAATATTAAATTTTCGAATTCCCGATTGTTTTATTTTTTCAATTCATTTTATAAAAAATAAAAATTTAACTTATTTATTAAAAATTATTTAAAATATGAGTTATCCACAACATTTCGTTTTACCACCAGGTCATAATAATTTCATCAACAGCAATGTTTATTACAATGAACCAGGTAGTTACAAGAATAGCAATGATGATAATGGTGATGATAATATTATGATTATTAATGATGATGAATATCAAATCATCAGGTTGGTTGTTGGTCATTATTACTATTTATTATTGTCACAGGAATTCTAAATATAATATATACATAAAATGTAGAAAATTTAATTATGGAAGAAAGCTTAATGTGTTCAAAGCATATAAAAAACCAATTGAATCAGAATACTATATTATAAAAAGATATGATGATATTATTTCATATAAAAGAGAAATAGATGCATTAATTCCATTGAAAATGGCAAAGGTAATTTCTTAGTGTGTTGTTATGAACCAGAGAAATATGTATTTAAATTTTCTTTTTTTATTATAGAATATTATGAAAATTATAGATTATGATTCACATAAGATGGTGGTTGTTAGTGAATGTGCACTATATGATTTAGAAACTTTTTTTGAACACCAGGCATGGACCCAAAGA